AGAAAGCTCGTGGGGAAGCAATTCGAATAAAGAAGACCTTCCTACACTGTAAAAACTGATTGGTCGAAATGACCAATTTTTTAGGTTGCAACCATTAGCAATTGGTCATTTTGACCAATTGTTTAATTAGTTAGTCGCATTTGACCAATTAAATTTGGTTCCTTTGACTATTACAAATTGGTCGAAAAAATTGGTCATCTTTCGACCAATTTATATAAGTTATTATAACCAACTTTTTATTGGTCATTTGGTTGAGTGTTCACTGTTAATTTCAAGGAGTTATTTCAACTCCACTGAGAATTAAAAATTGGGAGTGAAAATTTTGAAGTTAAATTTACTCGGCCTACGTCTTCGATATATGCATTCGAACATATACTCCACTGACTGAGGGTCAATTTAACTCCACTTAAAGGAGTAAAGTATAATGGAGTAAATTTTACTCACAAACAGAATAACGGAGTAAATTTTACTCATAATCAAAATAACCGAGTAAATTTTACTTCATATTTTTTATTTCACAATTAATCGTATAGTAGGAGTATTAAAAATATCGAGTAATATTCCGCCTAGTTTTTACTCGGCCTGTGTAATATAACTCGACCATTACACATAGGAATCCACAGGAATGGCCGAAACTTTATTGTTCTTCAAGTTTCTTCAACCTTGAATTAGGGCGATATTTGCTATACAAATTCGTATAGTGAAAGCCTGCAGTTCGTATAAAATCATCCGACAAAGACACAAGATCTAGCTGGGTGACGCGCTTTTTCGTAAATGTTGCCAAGTCAGATTGCTTTTAATATTACCAGTATCGGCTTCTTATTGTTCAATCGCGCGCGACGTCGAGTTTTTCTCGTCAAATTAATGTACTGTCATTGCTCTCAGTATATCAGTTGTTTATTTTTTATTTGCTGCGTAAATCTGTAATTTGAACTTGTGGAAAGTCCTGCTGCTGAATTCTGCTGAATATAATTTGCGCCAAGTGGAAGTTTCAAAGTTTCAACCAATTACCATGCTTAGAATATATCACGTGTTGTAGTAATTCAATCTTTTCACACCAGCGCGCTAAGTTCGATCTTTTGGGAGCAAACATTCAAACAGGAAAGATTTATATTTAAATTTTCTGCTTATAAAGATCGAAAGACTTAATAGAACACAAGGAGATTGTTTTCAAAGGTATGTCTCTTGTGTATTTACTTATTTGTATGCGGGTAGTTACTTGACAGACTGTGTAGTTATATTTTTAAATCGAAGGCCTGTATTTTATAGTCGCTTTGTGCCGATTTTACGAAGGCATCTAAACGTTCAGTTGTAAATTCGATTTACATAACAGTCTCTACTTATCTGTATTGTTAAGAAAATCGTATACGGCTTATTTCTGTGATATACATATGTGTTGTTCTGTTAAGTATTTGCTATGTTGACACTTGACATGTATACTTTTATAATAATGTGATTTGTTTGAAATATGCATAATTACACTATTGACGAAGGGCCTTCATAAATTTCGAAACGTCGACCCGAGTTGTTTTTTTAAGGTAGTATTTTTAGATTGGTACTACCCACACTGGTAAAGACAGTTTTAGTATATATTCACATTAATAGCATGTAGACAGCCTTTCCCAATGTATGGCTCTATCAGTCAGCCACTCAGCCTAAAACATGTGCAAGGGGCCGCTTATATAAAGGCAAGCCAGTCTAGGTAACTAACCTGGTTATAGCCCGCTTTCACTGGATGAATGTCTGTTTACATGAGCCTCTTTAGACATGCTTCTCAAAACGAATCACCCAGACTGAGTTGTATAATTTCCAATAAAATAAATTGACATACTTTTGCAGACAGTTTTGAAATGTAACTTACAAAAAAAATCACAGAGATCATTTAATCCATTGAGCCACAATGTGTCCCAGTATGCCCTACTTATTTTTTTTGCTTGCTTAATGCCAGGCGCTTTTACTCCTCAGTAGGGAAGCTCTGCAGCTTAATGGGTTAACCAAAAAATCTGACAATGTCTCTAGTTAACCCATTGAGCCGCAATGTGCCCTAGTGCGACCTACTTATTTTATTTACTTGTCTACCACCAGCAGTGGTGTAAATTTACTTTTTTGACCACTTGCCCTCAGGGCAAGTTGGTCATAAAGATTAGTTGCTCTGAATAAAATTCACTTGCCATCAGACAATGGCTGCTTGGGGTACCTAGGTAGGGGGTATAAATTAAGGGGACAACATGTCAACCTGTTCTCCCACTACGCTATATGGCTATGTTATACTGCCTCAGATATAGCTTTGGTGCACAAAAAACGAAATTTGAACCAAGTCCATGCACTATAAAACAAAATATATCTGACAATGAATAGTGGCAAGGCAACTTGCCCAATCGGGCAGCAAGATAAAGTGTTTACTTGCCCATCATGATATTCACTTGCCCATCATGATAT